CTTGTTACTATTCGTTGTCTCCTTGCTATAGCTGCAGCTAAACATTGGATTATTCAGCAGTTAGATGTTCATAATTCTTTTCTTCACGGTGATCTTGATGAGGAAGTGTACATGCGACCTCCCCTAGGTTATTACCGTCAGGGGGAGACACGCGTGTGCCGTCTCCATAAATATTTGTATGGTCTCAAACAAGCCTCCCATCAGTGGTATTCGAAATTATACCATATTCTCATCCTTGCAGGTTTTCGGCAATCAGCCTCTGATCATAGTCTCTTCACCAAAACCAACGGTACCATATTTACTACTATTCTTATATATGTTGATGACATTCTAGTTGCTGGTAATGACAGGCCTGCCATCAATTCTATCAAACATCATCTTGCTCGGACCTTCAAACTCAATGACCTTGGTAATCTCAAGTATTTCCTCGGGATTGAAGTTGCACGATCCCCTAAAGGTATCTTCATCAATCAGAGGAAATATACTTTGGACATTCTTTCTGATACTGGTCACCTCATCTCTCGCCCTGCCTATTTTCCCATGGAACAACATTGCAAACTTAATGATTCGAACGGTGACCTTTTGGATGATCCTATCCTATATCGACGATTGATTGGTCGCTTGATCTATCTGACTATCTCTCGTCCGGATATCACATTTGCTGTCAACATTTTGAGTCAATTCATGCACACTCTTAGGCAGCCTCATCTTCATGCTGTTTATCACTTGCTCCATTATTTGAAAACTACTCCTGGTTATGGCCTCTTCTTCTCCTCCACCTGTAGTTTTCAAATTTCTGCCTTCTGTGATTCTGATTGGGCCAGTTGTCCGCTCATGCGACGTTCCACCACTGGTTTTATCGTCAAATTGGGTCATAGCCCCATCTCTTAGCGTACTAAGAAACAAACTACTGTCTCCCGTTCTTCTGCTGAAGCTGAATATCGTGCGATGGCCACGACAACTTGTGAACTTGTTTGGCTTCGCCTACTCTTACAGGAACTCACTGTGTTACACCTGCAGCCTATTCTACTGCACTGTGACAATCAGGCTGCCATCCATATTACTCGTAATCCGGTTTTCCATGAACGAACCAAACACATCGAATTAGATTGTCATCTCGTTTGTGAGAAAATTAAATCTGGTCTCATTAGCCCTTCCTATGTTCCGACTTCTCAACAACAGGCTGATATCTTTACTATACCTTTGGGACGTGATTTATTTGTCATCTATCGTTCCAAGTTAGGCATTACGGATCTTCATGCTCAAATTTGAGGGGGAGTATTACAGCACTCATGCAATCCATGAAATCACGCACCTTTCCATTGCAGTCATATTTATTTCCATTGCTATTATATTGTTTCCATTGCAATTATATTTTCCATGTATAGATCAAAGACTCCTTTTATATAAATGTACTATGTAAAGCTAGAGACATATATGAGAATTGTATCTCTTTCTTCTTTATCAATATTCCTCATATCAATCTTATTATAAATAATCAATTTCTCTTGAGCTGTTACTTTAAGCTTTTAGATTATCCAAGCATTCAAAATCTAATATTATCTTCTTTTCTTTTTTTTTTTCTTGTATTATTTTGAAAGCACACAAAATAGTGAATATATAAAGAGAAAGAAATAATTATTCAAAAATATGTCCTTCAATTATTCTCAGCCAATTAATTTGAAATAAATCACAACTTATTTGTTGCCTATGACAAGGAAAAAAAACCCTAGTTTTGTAAATTAACTTCTGTGTTTCGTAATTATCAAACACTTGTACGATTTATTGAATGATGTATACTCAACATGTTTGGCACGTAGTACTCAACAAACTAAACAGTATAATTAATGGGATTCTTGCGTATTTTAGGGAGAAAACGATGAACTTACATGGGCTTGGATCATGTACATGCTTCTATGATGATCAGATGAAACTTGGGCAGAAACAACTTCAATTTTATGTTTTTCCAACACATAGCAAATGGCAGTGAAAAGCCCGGCCTTCTTCGTACAACAAATGCTGATTTGGGCATCTTGTCCACATATGTTTAGGCTCATATTAGTCTTTTGTGAGGGAGGGTAAAAAATTCGGTAAACCCCCCCTCCCCCTGGCACACTTGCATTTTTCATTATTGGGTTATTAATCTAAGTCCAGTTCAATCCAGTTTTTATGCCAATCTTTGTGATAATTGAAAGAGAAGTGTTTATCTTTAATTCACATTATTAATTCGTTATTATCATTGATTTGGAACTCACTTTGTGCTTGTTTCATCAATTGACGATTACATTTTCTTCACATCCATCAATCAATTATTTCAAAATGCATTCATAGCAAAAAAAGGGGGCCTCAAGCCGACACTAAATATATAAGATTTTTTTTTAATAGGTAGATATACTTCATGATTTGTTTACGAACTTTTTCCAATTCGATAGCGCGGGTCCCATCCGTATATCAAGTATGAAAAGGAAGACGGGAATGAATGCCGCAACTTACATTGCAATATCAGGCCAGAGCTAATTAAGGAGATATTTCTGTATATGATATAACTTAGATGAAATTGGTGGATAGCTATATATACACATAATTCAGTAATTAAAAAAAACGTACATAATTAAGTTCAACACTGTTTGTCTACTTTTTAAATTGAATTATTTAACAATGAGCATTATCTCTCCTGCAGCTTTCTTGTATATTTCTTCCACTGGAAAAGCCTCCTGGCCTTTATTAGAAACTCCAATTGCCTGGTATATATAGATGAATTGGAGTAAGCAAAAACACAGAAATTATGAAAGAAATTTCCAAAAATAGATTGACGATATAAATAATCAATTTCTCTTGAGCTGTTACTTTAAGCTTTTAGATTATCCAAGCATTCAAAATCTAATATTATCTTCTTTTCTTTTTTTTCTTGTATTATTTTGAAAGCACACAAAATAGTGAATATATAAAGAGAAAGAAATAATTATTCAAAAATATGTGCTTCAATTATTCTCAGCCAATTAATTTGAAATAAATCACAACTTATTTGTTGCCTATGACAAGGAAAAAAAACCCTAGTTTTGTAAATTAACTTCTGTGTTTCGTAATTATCGAACACTTGTACGATTTATTGAATGATGTATACTCAACATGTTTGGCACGTGGTACTCAACAAACTAAACAGTATAATTAACGGGATTCTTGCGTATTTTAGGGAGAAAACGATGAACTTACATGGGCTTGGATCATGTACATGCTTCTATGATGATCAGATGAAACTTGGGCAGAAACTACTTCAATTTTATGTTTTTCCAACACATAGCAAATGGCAGTGAAAAGCCCGGCCTTCTTCGTACAACAAATGCTGATTTGGGCATCTTGCCCACATATGTTTAGGCTCATATTAGGAGAAGACCATGTCTGAAAAAAGACTGGAATTTGTGAGAATGAAGATGAGTTTGAGGCAATGGCAGGCAAGTTATTTTTCCAAGATCCTTGATCGGCTAAAAATTCCTCCACCGGCTTTGTTGCGAGTTTCTGTGAGGTGATTATTGCTGGAACTGAATTGACAGGAGTTGGGATTCCATGGAGTTTCTCGTGCTTCTGTTTCTCGAGTTTCTGAATAGTTTTTTGTAGCATCCTAATGTGGTTTACAGCTTCGTCGACAATGGCGGACTTGTCTGTCTGCATTTGTTTCAAAAATAAACATCTCAAAATGCACTCAATTTGAGCCTTGAAAACTAAAATAGTTGGAGGAGAATTAACAAATTCATGTGCAAATGAATATTTTGTTGTTAGAGACTGAATATCATTTAACACGACAGTATAGTACTGTTGAATTTTGTTCAATCTAACTTGCCAAATGTCCGTGGAAAATTATACAGGGAAAAGAGAAGTTCATATAACTAAAATAGAAATAAATGTAAATTTATTGCAGTTAATTGAAGAGAAGGATCGAGTCTTCCTTAGCAATCTAGGTTGGATTCTTGATTTTGACAGGGAAACAAAAGATTCTTGAATTTGGCGATATTTGACAATTGATTCTTGAACGATAGAACTTTTTCATTAATTATCAGCCAACAATACTGTGCATCGAGCTCTTATCGACTCACAAATTATTTTTGAGCCGAACTTTTATTTTTCTTTGAAATTAGCTACTCGATCTACACTTATATTCGACGATTCCTACTCTTTATCTTAGCAAACAAGTAGAATTACCTTAGGAGGAAGTTGAGGAAGAAAAGCTTGAAGATTTGCAAACATGTCCCTCATCTTCTTCCTCCTTTCTCTTTCAGTCCACGTATGGATCTCATCATCCAAATCACCGTCACCACCACCACCAGCTCCTCCTCCTTTTCCTTCATTTAATTGATCCCCGCCGCCTTTGTCAGCTGCCATTCTCTTCTTCCTGGTGGCCAGTGGTGGTGGTGATTCTGTATGTCTCCCATTTTTCTTGCCGGATTTTTCTTCATCCTCTCCTATGTTATCAGGATTTTGGAATGTACATGATCGGTTGTCAAAACTGAACTTCTCGTGATTACCGTCTTTAGACATGGCCAGCCAGCACAAGAGGAAAAGAAACAGTAGATATAAATCAGAAATGGGTGTTATTATTCACTTTTTATGCACATCTTCTGTGACCACTCCCAAATAAGCACATTTCACTTGTAAGGAAATAAGTTAGCTTTAACTTTTTTAAAAGTTTATCGATTAAATTTAAAATAAGTAAGTTATTAACTTGATTGTAAGTAGAGAATTAAAACTGGCTTTAGAAAAACATTTCCACCATATTTAAACATAAAAAAGTTAATTAAAAGTAACTTTTTAGTTATATTTAAGTCCAAACATGTCAGGGACAAACCAAAAATGCAATCGTAAGCCAAATGCCGTTCTTGGCTTCAAAACAATAAAGGATAGCTAAAGCACGTTGTAGCAAAAAATTCTCGCTCGAGAGGGACCCACAAGGATGACAATGGACCCATTTCTCTAAATCGCACACGTTAGATCGAGATTGAGTTGTTACTAAGTTTATCGTTCATACAATTTCTCGAACACAGAATATCACGTTCATATTTTTTCGACATATAACTTGGACAATGCATATCCTTTGTCAACTAGTTACATTGCCTTTGAAATCAAGTGAACATGCATTATTTGATTTCTTGAGTATGTGTGAATCATATTGCGAATATTTAGTATTGCAAGTACATGGTATCATGAATAAGTAATAAAATGGATTTAAGAGTTCAAATCACCGTTCTAACAAATCTACTATTTAATCCTTGATTTAATTATGCCTAACTTCAATTCGATTGAAAATAATTAAAAAAATTTATGTTTATCTTAAAACTTATAAATCTACTAAAAATATGGACACTATAGCTATATCGTTAATCTTAATCTAATAACAATTAATTACGTATACCCTATTGAATTTGCTTCTCTCGAGTTCAAAACAGTCCTACCCAATTAAGCGAGTCCACAATATCCCTATATGATTTTAATTAGTTTTAACCAAGAGGATTCAATCACAAAAAAATTTATTTAATGATAGCGAAAATCATAAAAGCGTATATCCAGCCTTTAACAATCAAATCGCTAGTTTTTGGCCTACGCGAATCAATTTTGTTCACTGATTGCGCAATTTTAGGGGCTGCTCTTGCATTGTAGCTTGAGTCCTTTCTTAATTGCAATTTGAGTATTCATCTTTAATTCTTCAAAATTTAGTCCTTCACATTCCAAGGTCGTTATTAAATCGATTAGATGTAAGTTTTGAAAGTCTGTAATTTAATTCAACTTTTCAATTATTGAATTTAACTTCCAAAATTTCTGAATTTTCTTCGATTGCTCAATTAATACTTTTAGTTGATCGATTGCAACTTGGTTGATCTTGGAGTGCTTCAAATCTACTCCAATTAAATGTCAATTTCACATATTCCAAGTTAATTTCTTCCAAAATGCATTCAATTTAGAGTTTTACCAGCAATTAACATATTTAATACAAAATTAAATAGATATTCACTCAATTTGCAACATATAAATAAGAATAGAAATCGTGATTAGTTCCTGATAAATTTATAAAATGCACTTATCAATTATTGAGAATATTATGCTTGTAAATAGCTTATTGATTTTACTTAAAAAAAAAAAAACATTATTTCCTACTTTTTCACACGAATACAACGATGTTCTTATCTTTTGACAATTAAAGGGTTGAACACGAGCATTTCACAGTCAAAGAATTGCATACATCAATTGATTAGCTTTACGGCTCCTTTATCAATAGATTTCGTAGAAAGCGTGATTGTATCTGCATTTCCATGTGAGTATTATGCCCATCCCATCCTTTTGAGGTTAATGCGTTTGGAACCATGTTCGTCGTACAACGTTAATGATAATTTTGTTTACAGAATATCACATGACATTATATTATTAGACAGTTTAAACAAAAAGTTATTTTTGCAACCAACTGTTTTTTACTGTAGGAGATATTACACTGATAATATGCATATTATATTTATCAAGAACATGCCGTTAATATGTTTGAAATCGAAATATCATTCGACTTAACAAGATCTAATTTGAGAAGACAATTAGTGAATTACCGACTTCGAATATATGAATATGGATTCATCACTTCACAATCTTGAACACATCTCTCTTTAATTCAAACATTTAAATAAAACATAAATGAATTAACCAAATTCTGAAATCAAGCAAAAA